GGAAACTCGTATCAAGTCCCTTGCTAAAGGATTTGGATGGGTGGAGAGTTTTTCCTTGTAGGACGCTTTTTTTGTTTTTCTATTTCGTTCTTAACTGCAGGAATGCCGAGATCCCTGTGGATGTGTTCGTTGCGAATATACCATGGTGCCCTAGTGATAGTTCTCAGGATTTTTGATTGGGCGCGCTGTATGATGTATAGATTGGTGCTGCACGCGTTCCCCCAGAGCTGGGAGCCATACGTCCATATTGGCTTTAGTGTGGAGTTGTAGAGCAGGACCTTGTAGTCCAGGCACAGAGGCGATCGGGAGTTTATGAGCCAGTGGAGGCTGCTGGCTTTTAGTTTTAGATGAAGTTTCTTGCATTCAATATGTCTTCGCCATGTTAGGCGTCTGTCCAGGTGGACGCCCAGGTACGTTACCACGTTGACTTCGGGGATCAGTGTGCTGTTCAGGTAGAGCGGGGGGCATGTTTGTCTGTTGAGAGTGAACGTTATATGCTTACACTTTTGTTCATTTATTTTGATACGCCAGTCAGATAGCCACTTCTCGACTACCTTGAGGTGGTTGGCGAGCTGGGCTGTTGCACGGACTGGGCATCTGAACGGCTGAGGATCGCAGTGTCATCAGCGAAAGTGGATAATGTTAGCTGGTCGCTTGTAGGGATATCCGCTGTGTATAGAACAAATAGGGTAGGCCCAAGTGCGCTTCCTTGTGGGACTCCAGCTTCGATTGAATAGGTGCCGGATGTTGTTGCGTTTCACCTCACTGCGAAGACTCTGTTGTAGAGATACGACTCAAGTAATTTGTGTGTGTATACCGGCAAAAGTGTTTTTATTTTGTGCATGAGGCCGTTAAGCCAGACGCGGTCGAATGCTTGAGAAACGTCGAGAAATATCGCGCTGCAATATTCTCGATGTTCGAAGGCTGTGCGAATTTCTGATGTTATTCTGTTAACTTGCTCGATAGTTCCATGTTTTTCTCTGAAGCCAAATTGATGAGCTGGGATGATGTTGTGAGCTCCCAGATAAGGAATTATGCGTTTTAGTAGGCATTTTTCAAATAACTTGGACAAGCATGATAGTAGACTTATTGGTCGGTAAGATGACGGAATCGTGTGGTCTTTTCCGGGCTTCGGTATCATTATAATTATATATTTTTTCCATTTTGTTGGGTAATGGCCGAGACTTATGATCCCATTGAAGATTTTACAGATGACCTCAATAGCACAATTCGGAAGTTCAATTATCCTTTTTTGAGTTATTAGGTCATCGCCGGGAGTCCTTTTCGGCATCAGTTCCCTGATGACCTTCGTTATCTCGTTCGGACGAAATGATGCTGGAGTAGATTCCGTTTCAGTGTGGATTTGCGGTAGTTCAAATGGATTTGCAGCAGGGTTCGGCTGGAAAACTCCCTGGAGATGTGAGGCAAAAGTTTCGGCTCTGTCTTTGTCGCTGCGGGCCCAGCAACCAGATGACTTTCTTATCGGGGTGATGGTTTCAGCCGGTGAGCTTAAAGTTGGGTGAGCTCTCCATAAGGGATGCTTTGTGCTGGTTGGCGAGAGTTTTTCAATATATCTTAATTGTGCTTTTTCGGCAACTTGCTTCAGGGCCCGGCTTAAATTGCGTGTGGCTTCATTTAGACGTTGCTTTGAGCATGGCGATCTATTGGTTTGCCACGCCCGACGCAGACGCCTCTTTTCTTGGATAAGCTGTTCAATCCGTCTGTTGTGGTGTTGAGATTCTGGCTGCAGTCACAAGTACCTCTTCCAGTGCGGAGGTGGAGGAGTCGATGTCGGTTTCAGTATTGAGCTGGGGGGCTAGCTCAATGTGGGAACTCACATACTTTTTGTATTTCATCCAATTGGTTCTGTGCGACGTCAGCCTATCGGGGCGATCCGTATTTTCTGGGCTTTGAAGGAGGGTTATCAACAGCGGCGAGTGATCTGAAGAAAGGTCTGGAAGGGCCTTGGCGTTTATTAAATTGCGTGGGATGTTTTTTGTCACCGCGAAGTCAATTAGATCGGGTATCTTTCTGGGGTCTGCTGGCCAATATGTGGGGCTACCAGGAGAAACGTAGTCCAGCTTATTTCTCACATTGATGAGAGCGTTATACAGTTGGCTTCCCTTGGGGGTCACGAGGCGCGATCCCCAATGCGTATGCTTGGCGTTGTAATCTCCTGCAGCTATAAATCGATCTCCAAGAGAGTTTCAAAAATCCATGAATTGACCTTCAGAGATTGTAAAGCGAGGTGGGCAGTAGACAGCAGCAATGCAAAGGTTGCCGTTACCTGACTGCACTTTTATGGACGTAGCTTGCAAGAAATTTGTTGCAAACCTTTGGTGAAAATGGTGTTTGATGCGTTCTCTGATGAGGATGCCGGTCCCGCCGTGGGCTTTACAATCTGGGTGATCTGTGCGGTGGAAGATATAACCTCTTATATGAAAGTTGTATCTGCTTGTGAGGTGCGTTTCAACCAGTAGCATGGCGTCGATATGATTTTCATTTAGGAATTGTGTTGATTCAAGTTTATGCCGTGAGACGCCGTTGGCATTCCACGTGGATATACGTAGATTAGACATTGATTATTTCGACTGTTGTGCTACAAGCAACTGTATCACCATATTCTGATTCTGGACAAGCGTTTGCATGGTCGTTTTCATAAACGACATGAGTTCCATCATACTTTGTTGCATGGTCACCATCATGGATTCCAGGTTGTTTTGTGACTGCCCTGGGGCCTGCTGAGCGTTTACCGAGTTTGAGGGGGGAGGATTTTGCATACCTGTTCGAAGAGCTTCAGCGTAGGAGATGCCCGTGGGGGCATTTAGCGGACCAAAAGAAGATCTGGCCAGAAGATCTGGCTACTTCTGGAGTAGTTTTTGAATTATAATACACATTTTGTGTATTTTGTTGGCGTGTAGCTGTTGCTCGTCGCATGCGACTCTTCAGCTCCTTGTAGACCACGCAGCCTCTGTAGTTAGCTGTGTGATTTCCTCCACAGTTTCCGCATTTTTTCTTGTTTGGGTCTTCTTTGTTCGCAGGGCAGTGTGCGGAATTGTGGAAGTCTCCACAGACTACGCAGACTGACCGAAGGGTGCAGTATGTCCTTGTATGTCCATACTCCTGGCAATTTTTGCATTGCACAGGACCGTTGCGTTTGTGCGGTTCTTCCACGGTGATTCTTCGATGCAATAGGAACTGCAACTTGTAGATCGGGTGAACTTCATTCTTCTTCATGGTTTTACTTTCTGGCTCCAGTTCGACTTTGAAAAGTGGTTGCGGCTTTTTGTTTTTATTTATAATGTTGCTGACATTCTTGGCAAGGAAACCCTTGCCTTTCAGGGCTTCCACTATCTCAGAGGGGGCGACGTCTGGTTCAATTCCTTTTAACTTGCAGTCCCTTGCTGCTTTTTAGTTGGTAGGTGTAAAAATTCTTTTTGGATTCTTCCAGGTATTTAGACACAGCCCGGAAGTGTTCTTCTGTTTTGGTTTGAATTTTTGTTTCGCAAATGATCCCTTTAATAAGCGGAACAACATGAAAGTTTCCGTCCCCTACCAGCGCAACAATTTTGTTGACCAGGGCGTTTGAGCTTTTCTCCCTAATATAAATGGGTGGGGGCTTTGGCTGTTTTTGGGTCTCCTGCTCCGGCTCTGCTTGGTTATTCTCATCAGCTTCTAGCGGAGAAAATTTGTTCGAGTTGTTTGGGTCGTAGCTTTTGGTGACACGGTTGATCTTAGGCTTGTTACCAACCGTGTTATGTGGGCTAAGCTTACGCTTAATTTGGATGTAGCGATCCATGCCAGTCTGTATGGCCGGAACCGCTTGTTGCTTTTCGGAGTTCACGGTTTTTGTTACCATTGAATTTGGCGCTGCGGCCGTTGGCACCGATTTCGCAATATTGGTCGTTGGTTTAGTTGTTGCTGTTGCTTTTGCTACGTTTGCAGAAATTGCAGCTCTGCTTGTTGTTGGTGCGTCTTCCATCGAAGCCGGTGGTGGTGGGGTTTGGCATTGGGAGCTCCAAGATGTAGGAGCTGGAATGAGTAGGGCGGGTGAGCAAGAGCGCGCTCTCGTGCCGTCGGCGGTCAGTAGAGCCGGGTTGAGCTTGATAGACGTTTTTTCTGCTTCGTTATCGCGAGTTGAGAAATAAGAGAAACAACAGTTTCTTTGGTTTACAGAGGTTCTACGCTCATTCTTTTGATCGCCGCTCATTATTTTGAGCTTGTTACGCGTGGCACCATATAAATGAACTTTGCAGCTCAAAAACACGTCTCACGCACTAGTGTCCGTATGTCATACGCACTGTAAGGCTTGGCCTAGCTGACAGTACGTAGTTAAGAGTTCCGAATTTACTTTTTCACCATGAAAAAACACTTCGAGAATAACCCCCCCGGGTAGCGGTCGTCCGTAAGCACTTCTGCACTCGATGAAGGTCGAATGCGAATTTTGGGTTTTGTTACCATATTTTTTGTCTTTGCGGTCATTGACAACGATTACGCAATATTGGTCGTTGTTTTAGTTGTTGCTGTTGCAGGTAGGTACGTCTCACTCGACGAATGTCCAATGATTTTCCATCTTGCCAAAAATGAAACGGAACGTGATTGGGGAGAGCTCGTTGGGCGTTCTTCTCTGAACCAGAGAGAACTAGCTACTCGCCGAAGACCGTCGCTACCTCTGGACACTTAAAATCATATGCTTCTGATGATGATGATTCTCCAATGGTGTGCTATTGATATTTAATTTTACTTATATTTAGTTTATTTGCTTTTAAATAAAATAATTGTGTATCGCTGACAGTTTTTTTGTTGTTTTTTTTTTTTTTTTGGAAAGCAAGGGACAATGACTCCCAATTTATACACTTTTCACAAATCAATACGAATAGCCCGTACAGGTAAAACACTTTTTTACCACAGAAAGAAACCTGGTTAGGCAATACTGAAAACATACTTTTTTTACTTGTATAATTTGTTAATATTACCACTTTTTTAACTTTCATTCTAAGGTGACTGGAAGGCCATCCCTCGGCAACATAAATAATGAAACCAGTTTTATTGAAAATGCAGACGTCATGCAAGAAAACTCAGAAGGAGGAAATGATGACTTAATTCATACCCATAATTTTATGGAAGTAGAGTCGTTGCAACACTATTTGCTATCTATTGTACACATGCCATTTTCTTTGAGAATGATTTGCCTGACAAACCTTTTCTGCTGGATGGCACATGTATGTTATTCGCTTTATTTTACCGATTTCGTGGGAGAGGCCGTATTCAAAGGAGACCCAAAGGCATCGCAAGGATCTGTACTTCAAATTCGTTACGAAGAAGGGGTTCGATTTGGATGTTGGGGAATGGCAATGTATTCTCTCTCATGTTCATTTTACTCACTTATAATAGAACACCTCATTAAAAGATTTAGGTAAGTATATAAAAATATCCTGTTAATATATATATATATATATATAAGGTTGTCAAAAAAGTCTTGCGGTATTTTTATTGAATTTTCAATTGTTCATAAAATTGGTTATTATAATGTGATTTAAGTCAAATATGCGCCGTTTTGTTCGATAACGAATTCCTAACGAGATGCCATCTTCATAATTCCCATCTTAACGAAGCTCGCTTCCCTGTTGGCAAAAAACTCGGAGAGCCAATTTTCATAGGACTCTCTTGTGTCCATCTTCCGACTACCAAGCTCGTTCGCCATGGACAGAGTTAGGTTGTAATCACGTAGTGCGAAATCCGAACTATACAGTGGATGCAAAAGAACCTCCCATCCGAGCTCCCGAAGCTTCTGGCGCGTCACCAAAGATGTGTGTGGCCTGGCGTTGTCCTGATGGAAGACAATTCGGCGTCTGTTGATCAAATATGGGCTCTTTTGGAAGAGTGCTGCATTTAAGCAGTCCAGTTGTTGGCAAAACAGGTCCGAATTGAGCGTTTGGCCATAGGGGAGCAGCTCATAGTGGATGATTCCCTTCCAATCCCACCAAACACACAGAAGAACGGCCGTCAATCGAGGCTTGGCAGCTTCACCGCTCTTCGACCACGACCGTTTGCGCTTCACATTTTCGTAAGTGACCCCCTTTTCATTCCCAGTCACCATCCGCTTCAAAAAGGGTCGATTTTGTTGCGAATTAGAAGCTATTCGCATGCATCCAAACGGTCAAAAATGTTTTTTTGCGTCAAGTCGTGTGGCACCTATATATCGAGCTTCTCTTTGAATCCAAGCTTCTTCAAATGGTTTATAACGGTTTGATGACTCATGCCCAGCTCTTGGCCGATGCTACGGCTGCTACAAGCCGGTCTCTTTCGATCAATTCAGCGATATTATCGCAATTTTCGACGATAGGCCTTCGGCATCTTCGACCACCTCTGCACCAGAACGAAAACGTTGAAACCATCGTTATGCGGTGGAATTGGAAACTGTATCGGGTCCATAAACTGCACAAATTTTATTGGCAGCATGAGACTCTTTTTTGCCTTTATCGTAGTAGTACTGTAAAATATGCCTATTTTCTCTTTATTTTGCTCCATGTTCGCGACGGTATAACTCACGAACGACTAAAAACAAACAACCACAAATCAAACAAATGTTAGCGCGGGAAAAGAGCTTTCCAAAAAGGTCTAGTGTAAGCCCATGTGACGAATAAAACTAGAACTACACGCTTGCAAAGATACTTACCTAAAATACCGCAAGACTTTTTTGACAACCTTATATATGTAGGATTGGTATATTTGTAGAAGAGTATCCCTAGTGTATTTAAGTATATCTTTAAAGTATTTTAGTGAAGTATATATGCTGAAGTATATCCATTAATGTAAGACTAGTATTAAGACTCGGGATGGCATGCATTATGCGGGCACACTTAAGAGAAGAGAAGAGCTGAGCGGTTGTTAAGTTTGAAGAAAAAGCGCGACATATATCGACGCATTTCCGCGATAGTATCGTATGTCTCTTTTTTTCGAAATTGAGATTTTAATGCAAAATTCTTAGGCACCTAGTGTATCACTACCCTGTGAAATATTATAACTGAAAACCCTATAGTTCCGATAAAAATTAAATTTCAACTTTATGGTTTGTTCAGTGCTTCCTAAGAGATCAAATCAAAAAAAGAGCTTCTCCTGTAAAATTAGATTTTTCAACCCATGATACATTCGCGGAAATGCGTCGATATGTAAATTGTTTAATAGTTATCAAATTCAGTAAATAATAATAAGTAAACATTTGTGGGAAACTCAATAAAGTTATAACCCTACAAATATTGGGGGCTCGTCCAGGAATAATATAAAAGAACATTCTGAAATTTTTTCTTTTCGCAATTCGTCAAAATTGCATGCGGTTAAACTTTTGCATATATATATATATATTTTTTAATATATTCCATTTATTCAACATACACAAGAACTTATTAACACATAACAACAAAAAAACGAAGACTGCGTGTTTTTGGGTAGAAGGGTGCTTTGATGCAGTGTAGAGGGCCATGGTCGCGCGGTACCGCCGCTAAGCATCCTTCTCTCCGTCTCCAGGGTACTAATGGTCATCATGACGCTTGCCACGAAAGTGGCAGTCGCGTCCCAGGCCTTCTGGCTGGCAAACATGGTGGGGACCACATTGTCAGCTCCGATGGCAACGCCCACGACTTCCTCCAGTGCTAGCCGCTCGAGGTGGAATCGGTGGCATTCGAAAAGAACGTGGTCCTCTGTGTCGTGGCCGAATCGCTTGAGGTAGCTTCGAAAGCAACCGTGTCCACTGAGTGGCTGTGTCAAGTAGAAGACTACCTCGCCGTGCTTTCGGTCTTCCCAGCCTTGGATGTCCGGAATCAGGCGGTTTGTCCAACGGCCCTTTGTGGAACTGTCCCAACTGGACTGCCAACGGGCGATGCTCCTGCGCCTGGCGCTGCTCCTGGCCTCGCGCCTGGCCAAAGGGTTTCTCGGCTCACATAGGAGGAGGGCTTCTTGATCTTCTTGCACCAGCTCACCTATCGGCACCTTTCCGGCAATGACCAGGGCCGCGTCGGTGGAGACAGTCCTAAAGGCGCACGCTACTCTTAGGGCGCATAGACGGTAGGTTCCCTCCACACCCCTCGCGTAGCTCTCGCAGCCTCCGCCCAGGATGGGGCTTCATAGAGGAGTTGCGACGTGACGACGCTCGTGAGCAACTTCCTCTTGGACTGCTTCGGCCTCCTGATGTTTAGTAGGATCCTGGATAGGGATCTCCCAGGACGGAGCCCTGCGGGACTCCCGCTAAGACCTCGTGTGTTTTGGTGCCCAGGGACGTGTCCACGATGAGAGTCCTCTCGCTGAAGTAGCTGCGGACTATCCTCAGCAGGTAGCCAGGGACGTTAAAGGCTTCCAGAGCCTCCAGTGTCCGCCTCCAATCCGCAGAGTTGAAGGCGTTCCGGATGTCTAGTGTTACCACCAGACAGTACTCCTTGGCGCCTTTTTTCCATCTAGCGCCAGCGATGGCGTTCGCTGCCAGGTTAGTGACCGTTTCGATGGCATCCAGGGTCGATCTTTTTGGTAGGCCCCGCCCCAAGGGTCCTTATCGACGTCGTCGCACAGCTTGAGAAAGCACTCTTTCTTGCTGGTCCTTATCGCTTCTTCAGGGCCGCCCTTGCGATCTTATACGCTTCGCTACGGGCTAGAAGGTTCGGGGAGCCGCGCGCTCTCTGAACTTGCCTTCTAGCTCGGATGCAAGATGAGCTTAGAGTTGCTATATCGTCGTTCCACCAGTAAACAGGTGTGTGGTGCCTTCGGAATGTTTTCCGTTGCTGCATGCTTGCGTTACATGTACGCTCGACGGCGACCGCCAGTTGAGCGTGTTGGCACAGTCCGTCTCGTCGGTGGCTAGGCCCGCCAGGGCACTCGAGAACGCTTGGGCGTTGAACGTGTCCTGCCGGTACGCCTTGTTTGCGCTAGGCGGAACCGTTCTGCGGGGTGGGTTCTCGCCGAGGGAAACGAGGATGGCCTCATGGTCGCTGGCCGTGTAGATCTCGCTGATTCTCCACCTGGCCTGGCAGGCTAGTGCGATGCTAGCGTACGTTAGGTCTTTAATGGACCCAGCTCCAGCTCTGTTGAATGTTTGCTGGATGCCCTCGTTGAGCAAGGCGATGTCCTGGGAGGCGAAATCCCCCAATCCTGGGTCCAGCCGTTGAAGTCGCCACCCACTATGGTGTTGCTTCGTCCTCGGATGTCATTACTGAGCTCATCGATGGTGCTGCTGAACGCCTCCAGGGTGAGGCTCGGTGCCAGGTAGCAGCTGTACACCCTCACCCCGCCTACTCTTCCGCGAACGAAGCCATCCGCCGATCTGACGTCGGACAAGTGACCGGATTCCCGTCCACACATCCATATCGCAGCCTTGCCGGTACGGTCCGTGGCCCAGCCGTGTGTGCTAGCAGCTTTGTTTGGCTCGCTGAGCACCGCCACCTCCACGTCCAGGTCGCGCACTGTCTGCATCAGCAGGTCCTGCGCGGCCCTGCAACTTTTGCATATATGTATGCGTGTGCGTGTAATGTGAAAATGAACATGTGGAAAAAGTGCAGTTAGACACTAAATGGAGCTGGTGTTTGAAAAAAAGAAGACGGTCCTCCTCGGTCCTCTTCTATTTGGCATTTTTATAAATGATCTGCCCCAAGTTATTCTCCACTCTTACGTCTTGATGTATGCTGATGACGTAAAACTATGTTTGCCTCTTGTGAATCTTGACTCTGCTCAGCTTTTGCAAGCTGATTTAAACAACATGTTGTCCTGGTGCACTCACAATTTATTGTTTCTTAACAACTCCAAATGTAAATACATGTCGTTTTACCGCAGAAATTGTTTCCAGGCCAACTATTTCTTAGGCACGAGTGTTCTTGAACATATTCACTCTGTAACGGATCTTGGTATTCTATTTACCCACAACTTGAGCTTCACCGATCACATCGGTATAATTGTTGGCAAAGCAAAGGGTGTTTTTGCTTTCGTAAAACGTTGGTCTAAGGAATTCGATGATCCCTACACTACAAAACTCTTATATATATCCCTGGTTCGGCCCATACTCGAATATTGTTCGTGCGTATGGACCCCTCAATATGCAAAGTATACAGAAACAATTCCTTTTGTTCGCTCTTCGGGGTTTAGACTGGGACCCACATCGCCACCTTCCTCCGTATGCCGACAGACTACGCCTTCTGGACCTGCCCTCTCTTAAGGATCGTCGGACCTGCCATGGCGCGATATTCCTGCATAAATTAATAAATGGATACATTTCTTCCAGTAATCTTCTTAAGCAAATACACTTTTCAGTTCCTTCTAGGCCATCACGTTACTTTCGGCCTATAGCTTTGGATATTTGTAAAACTAATTTCGAGGCACACGATCCTTTTCGTATTTTTTGTTCGCTTTACAAGGACATGTAC